GAAGCTCAACAAAGCAAGAAAAGATCACTTAATCGCCCCAAATGATAATGACTTTGGAAAATATAGTTTTTTGTTTAAAGATTTAAACTAATATGCTGGCTTTTATGTATGTTACCTAATCAAAGCATTGACCAGAAAAATTGAAAGTGTTCTAAGGCACGTAGCAGAGGAGCTGCAGATTTTCTGCTTGTATTGGCGTCTATCGTCCCTCCTGAGCAGCAACCCACAGTAGGTAGGAAAATGCGCTGTTTAACAGGTCTGGCCATGCTCTCATGGCACCATTGGCATCAAATGGCGAAGTGACCGCTACCCTGTTGCCATCTGTTGAACAGACTTTTGGATGAAGTGTGTTGGGGAAGAGGATAAGGTTATGTCTAAGACGACTCCTTGAGTTGGTCCTTCAGATAAGAACCATCATGGTGAGAGAGTAGAGACTTGCGCTAGGGGTCAGAAGACATGATGGATGAAATTCTTCACATTTTAAATGGAACAAATTTGTTTAATATAATAAAGTTTGCTACTTATCTGTACGTAGGTTGCTAAAAAGGATTTTCTTAACTCAGATTTTAAGCCAAATAACCATTTAACACTAGTACATGTTAAATGGGGTATTTTTCTGTATTTGTATGTTTCACTATAATAAGGGAACTAAGGATAATGTGCATTGACACTATTTTGAAAAAATAATCAGTTGGACTCAAATTTTATTTCTTGGTCTTTTGCTGTTTAAATGATGATTTTGAAAGATTACACTTGTACTGTTGGTATTGTGTAGTGTATGGACCAATATTGCCTGTAATAAACATTTTATATATAGATGTCTTTCATTTTTTGGTGTGGTCCTTCCCCCCCCCCCCAAGAATTATTGAAACTGGGCCCTAAAATCACAAAGTTGGGGGTTTTTTTTCAACGCCTTTATTTTTTTATTTTTATTTTTTAAAGATTTTATTTATTTACTTGACAAAGAGACAGCGAGAGAGGGGACACAAGCGGGGGAGTGGGAGAGGGAGAAGCAGGCTTCCCGCGGAGCAGGGAGCCCGATGCGGGGCTCGATCCCAGGACCCTGGGATCATGACCTGAGCCAAAGGCAGATGCTTAACGACTGAGCCACCCAGGCGCTCCTCAACGCCTTTATTTATTTATTTATTTTTTGCAGACTCCCTGCTGAGCAGGGAGCCCGATGTGGGACTCGATCCCAGGACTCCAGGATCATGACCTGAGCCGAAGGCAGTCGCTTAACCAACTGAGCCACCCAGGCGCCCCTCAACGCCTTTATTTAAGCAATTAGTGATAGTATGCAAATTAGACATGATAACGACTTTTCACTCTGTCCTGCTCTCTTCCAGATTTGGGTTGATAAGCAGCTTCTCTTGTTCAGGGACATGTTAACTCTTCTGGGGCTCTTCTGTGTTACATTCAGATGCATGAGTAGCAAGGAGACAAACAGCCAACTAGGATGTGGGCCATGGGTTTCCACAGATAACTGGCACAACACTCTCAGTAGGGCTGTTTTGGTTGGCAGGATGGCTGGCAGACACAAAGAGCTAAGCTGTCCTCTGGGACCCTGACCTGCTTCAGGGGCTGGGACGTGGTGACCTAGGAAGAAGAGTTGTCGGCAGGGTGTGGGGTGGGGGGCTGCTATGTCCTGAGGATGTTACCAGTGCTGTGTCCTTGTTGGGGGTGGGGGTCGGAGGGGGAGTGGTGGATGGGCCTGGAAGACAGGGATCTGCTGGGCTGTGATGTGCCAAGCCTTCAAACCCTCGCGCAAAGTCACTTCCTCGTGACGCCCTTGAATGAGTGGGTTTAGGGGTGTAACGGAAAAGGGTCTTGGTTCCTGTATGTGAGTCCAGCCACCGTGGAGAGGAGGGTATAGCTGCTGGTAGTGAGATGAGACAAGTAGATCATCTAGAAGAACCAGAGGCTGCCTGTGACTCCTTGAAGACAGGAGAGACTGTTTTTCCTCCACGCGCGGGAAAGCAGTTGGGACCAGTTTTACTTGGTGGATGCATTAGGAGTGCATCTTATTTGCCAAATAGATAATTTGTTATGGGTGACAGTTTCTGTAGAATAGACTCGTAGTGTTATTTTTCTACCAGGTCTTTCTAGTCTGATGGCCCTCATTACATTTTTTCATCGTTGTACTTTCTTCCAAACTTCTTTTTTTTCCAGGGAGAAAAGCAGATGGTAAAAAGTGGTCTCTGGTGCTCTGTTTCAGTTAACAGATAAAAAAGTCGGTTGTCTTAACTTTTGGAATCCACGCTAGAAACAGCTTGAGATCCTGTGAGTGGTCGAGAACTCAAACTCTTTAGTTGGCCTGGAGAGATTAGAATATAGACTTCTTGTATTTATTGCAAGGGAAGAATAGCAAGTTCTGGAAAGCCAGTTCTGGGGTCCTGATTCAAGGTCTCCAAGAAACATAGCCACCATTGCCCAGACTGCCCAGGCTCAGGGCGTTGGCTTCCCTCCTCCAATTCCCGACAACCTGTACCTTGTCAGGCATATCCTGTTTGCTAAGTAAATGCTTAGAAGCTTTAAAAGTTAATGAGCATTATTTCAACATATACTCTCCCTGCCCGCTTCTCAGACTCCACCAACTTGATCATGGTGTAAAAAGTGGCTATGAAAGCTCAGATATGGGTCGATGTGGACAAGTTATGGCTGACTGAGTCCTGAAGAGCAGTGTCGCCTGACCCTGACGGCCTGGTGTGTTCAGAAATGAACTTAATCAGTTTCAGAAGTACATTCTGGTGTCAGAGCAGCATGGAAATGTCTAGACAGAGAAGAAGAAATGAACTGCCTTTTTAAATCCAGGGTGGTTTCCTGGCCTATGAGACGTCACCTTGCATTGCCACAAGGCATTGTGGGTCTTAAAAGAGAACCCACAGGCAGCAAAAGTTCTTTGGACCTTATAAAGGCCTGTGCCAATGACAGGTGTGTCTTATAGAAGTGTAGGGTGGATTCTGTCCTGGCAACCTACAGTGAATGGAGACTGGTGACTTTGGCCATATTTGTTTCCCTTAGTAATACACCAGTGACCTCAGATCTACACAGACAAATCAAGAGGGACTAGAAATAAGGTTAATATTAAAAAACCTAGAAATACATTTTTTTTCGGCGTCTATAAAAACAAGGTTATATAAAACAGTATGAAAACACTGTATTACCGAGTTTGTAATGTAATAGATGAAAAAGTAAAAGCACAGGAACGGGAAGAGGAAACAGAGCTATATTGGAGAAGCTTCTGTCTCTTACTGGAATTAGGGTAGTATAATCTGAAGTAGAAATTCTGGAAAAAATCTATATAGTGATCCCCAGAGCAACTGCTGAGGATATACCAAAGAAAGGTTTAAAATCATTAATTAATGGGATACTAGCAAATATCCGCTTAATACAAACGAAGGGAATAAAGAAGGAACAAAAAGGACAGGAGAGGGGTGCCTGGGTGGCTCAGTTGGTTAAGCCACTGCCTTCGGCTCAGGTCATGATCCTGGAGTCCTGGGATCTGCTGCTCCCTCTCCCACTCCCCCTGCTTGTGTTCCCTCTCTCGCTGTGTCTCTCTCTTTCAAATAAATAAATAAAATCTTAAAAAAAAAAAAAAGACAGGAGAGCTATAAAACAACTAGCAAAATGGTAGGTGTAAATAAGCTACCAACATCCTGGGCCTCAGTGGTGGACACACTGAATGCCATGGCTCCCTAGCAAGGTAGCCAACACTAGCCACACCTTACATCCCTGGAAGCCAGGCACCAGGCTCACCCAGCTGCCCTGGGGCAGAGGTGAGGTCTCACCTTAGCTTCTGGTTCTCGCCAGCCCAAGCTTTTTGTTTTGTTTTTTGCCTGCAGTCATACTGCACTGGTTCCCTCAGAATTTTATTTGCCTAGTTTTCTGATTATTCATAGTCACCTGCGGCCTCAGCAGCCGTGTAAGTATGGACTTCACTTCGCCCCAGGTACACTTGTCCCTCTCCCTCATGGCAGCAATTCTCTTCTGTCGCTCTCAAATCGCCGCATTTCATCCCTTACTGACTTGTCTTTTATAATCACAAAACTTTAGAAAGGACCTAACATTTAGAGTCAGAGATGTTTGAGAGAGTCAGCTGTAGGTCACTGGTCACCCGGGCAGCCTACCTTTGAGTCTGAATTTCCCACCTACTAGCTTTGTGGCCTCAATCAAATGACTTTTCCAAGCCTCGGTTTTTCTTGCCATCTGTGGGGTGAGTCCAAGCAGCACAGACCCTCCCCCAAGGGCCGAGGTGGTGGGAGATGAGGCTTCCGGGCACACGCCGCTTAACTGATGCAGATCGTGCACGCTGGGAGACTACAGTAACTGAGATTTAGTGAGATCTCACTGTGGGCCTGGCACTTTCCGTAAATCACCTCATTTATCCTCAGAACAACCCTGTGGGAGAGGTACTGCTATTACCCTCCATTTTACAGACGTGCAAACCGAGGCCGAGTGACCTCTCCCGCCCGCCTCACTTGCGGGACCCTGGACACCTCTCGTCCCCGCACCTATTTTCCCAAGGTTAAGCGGGGATAATTAACGGCACCTATGTTCCCCGGGGCCTGTACGGACTCGCGGGCACGAATGCCATCATCATCACGCCACTTAGAACTCAGCAGGCCAAGCGGCGACTCCCGGATGCCCGAGCTCTCAGATTCCGCGCTGGGAGGATCACGTCGTGGACTGGCCGGACGCCCGACCCGCGCCTGCGCAGACTCCGCGGACGGAGGGCGGAGCCTGTGGGACGACAGCTGGCGGCCGTAGGGGCGCCTGCCGGGAGGCTGTTCGCGCAGGCTCTGTGGGTGAGGGGCGTGGCCCGCCGGGGGGGCGGGGCTGTCAGGCGGTGTCGGCATCCGCGCAGACTCCGTGAACGAGAGGCGGGATCACCGGGGGGGCGGGGCCGCCGGGAGGGGCCGGCGTCCGCGCAGACTCCGTGGGCGGAGGTGGAGCTGCCTGCGCGGGGGCGGGCGCCGCGGCGGCGGCGGGGCTGACGTGGAGGGTCCGGGTTAGCGGGCGCGGCGGGCTGCGGGATTGGGGAGCGACGGGCCGGGCCGGGCCCTCGGGCCCGAAGCGGCGGCGGCGGTATAAAGCCGGCGACAGGGAGCATGTAATGTCGGAATGCGGAGGCCGCGGCGGCGGCGGCAGCAGCAGCAGCAGCAGCGACGACGCCGAGGACGAGGGTGGCGGCGGCGGCGGCCCCGCGGGCTCCGGCTCCCTCAGCCCGGCCCCGGCCGGAGTGTCCTCGGCGGGCCGGCTCCGTCGCGGGCTGCGCGGCGCCTCCCTCATGGCGCGCCGGCGGCCCGAGCTGCTCTGCGGGGCCGTGGCGCTCGGCTGCGCGCTGCTCGTCGCCCTCAAGTTTACCTGCAGGTGAGGCGGCCCGCAGCCCCGGGGCCCCGGCCGGCGGCGCAGGGCCGGCTCGGGGCCCGCAGGGTCCGGGGTTGGAGCGGCCTTCGCGGGGGAAGTGAGGCCTGGCTTTGCCTGGAGCCACGGACCCGACCCTGCTCAGCCTTCGGCCGTGCCCGCCACTTGCCCCGCGGGCCAGGCGAGGTTTTCGGGGGCTGCTCAGGATCCTTCCTTCATCCCATTTTAGCACCGAAGTTAGTGGGCCACGTTCTGAGCTGCTCGTCACCTGTTGGGGTTTCTTGGGGTGGGGGGCGCACCTGTCACTTCTGCGCAGGCTGTAGGACCCTCATTTAACCCCCATCGCGTTTCCCTTATGCCGCGAGTGTAATGATTCACAACTGTTAGAGTCCCAGACCCCTTCGACAATTCGTGCACTCATCGATCTAACGATTATTCATCCACACGTGCTACGGTGGATAACACTCACCCAGGTGAGCGTTCAAGATAAAAATCCCACTCTCCTTTCCAGTGGGACAGGCAGTAAACAACTTAATATAATTTTAAAGGGCTCCTGTAAGTGCTCTGCAGGGAACAGAAGGAAGGAGGGTGGGGCAGAAAGGCCTTCGTGACCACGAGACCTAGGAAGCTCACCCGGGGAGGAGGAAGGGGCCAGCCCTGGGAAGATTTGGGGGAAGAGTGTCCCAGGTAGAGGGAGCAACAAGGGCAAAGTCTGGACGGGGCTGTTGTTTTACTGGAGCTGAAAAGAAGGCCTGGGTAGGCAGGACCATAGTGAACAAGAAAAAAATTAAAGTTACTGTGTCTCTTTTGGGGAAGGTACACAGATACAAAATGTGCTTTAAATTTCAGGAGTACTTTTGGTCTCCCAAGTGCTCAGTGTATCTTCTCGGACTCCCAGTTTGTAAGTCTCTGTTGCAACTGACTGGCATATTAGCCAAGAGGAAGATTTCAACTTGGAACATTTTTACGGAGTGTGTTAAGCATAGTATGTGGCCTTTGTTGTCAGAGAGGTGTCAGAGGTTTGGGAATTTTAGTGAAAGGGGACAAATTATGATAACTGTTATTGATCATTTGCCAAGTACCAGCCGGGTTGCTCATCCTTGGCACTTGGGCAGAGGAGCTGTCCTGTCCATGGTAGAGTGTTTAGCAGTATCCCTGGCTTGTACTTACTAAATACCCATAGTACACAGCCCTAGATATGACAACCAAAAATGTCTTCAGACATTGCCAAGTGCCCCCTGGGGAACAAAACTGCTTGCTTGAGCACTGCAGCTTACTTACATCAGTGCATTTATTCCTTTAATACATCATCTGAGAACCTAGTATGGACCCAGAAAGGCTCAGTCCCCAATAAAGTCTGGATATACTCTTATCCTTCCAGGTTATAGATGAAGGAGTTGAGCTTTGGTCATGTTACAAAACTTGCCCCAAATCACACCCACCTATTAAGTGGCTGAGCTGGAATTTGAATCCTTTATTGTTAGGTACTAGGCTCTTAACTTTGCTCTTTATCATGGGCTGCGCAAAGAAAAATATATGAAGTATTTTACAATGTGGAATTGCAAGATATCTTTGGGTTCAATTTAGGAAGAGAGGTCCGTTGTGTGTGTCCATGTCCGTCCCCGACACCCCCCCCCCCCGCCCCCCGCAGCTCCAGGGGTGGGGAACTTGCTGACATCTGTTCGTCCATAGAAATAATGCTTCGTGTTTTTTCTGAAAGAACATGACTTTAAAAAGCTAAGAAAGTCCTTTGAGATTTGGGGAAGAAGGAAGAGTGTAAATCCAGTTATTGTGGCAGGCAGAGCAAGATCCCTACCTGCTTCGGAATAGGAGTGAGCCAGTGAATGGCCGCTTGCCTGTCCCTCTTTTTTCTGTGCCACTGGCAAATCTGGAGAGTCTTTTAATAGACTGAACTTGATTTTTTAGAGTCTTGTTTGATTGAATGGTGTCATGATACTGTTATAGACTCGAACATTTCTGACCCCCTTTTTCTATTTTACTTTTAAGATTGTTGCATTAATGAGGACAGAAGCTTACGAGAAAGTAGGATTTTTTTCAAAATTTTATTTTTATTAATAGCACCAGGCCTAAAATAAGGGACAGCCCTCCTCAGTGTTGGTTGCTTAGCTGAGTTCAAACCAGATAATATAAAAAAGGTTGATTTGGGGTGGAAACACAATAATTGTGCATTTTTGGGCCTTTAATCTTTATTTTACCTGCCTTTCTATTCATTGAGTCTCCTTGACTGCATCCTACTCCCTTTCCTTTCACCCTGATTTTGGAGGGAAAAAGTTGTGTGTCTGTATCTATATATGTATGTGTGTGCATATATTCATTTTCCTTTATTGCATTTTGTGATTTCAAAGCTGCTTCAGATCCTCTTCAGAAGGAGGTGTAACGTGCACGTTTCATAGAAAAATTGGGAGTTGCAACCCGCCATTTTTGCTTGCAACCAGCTCTTGAGTTTTTCGAACCTGAGACTGAGCCTTCAAATCTGCAGGAAATCTTTGATCTAGGTAGAGTTTCTCAAAAACTTGTAGCAAGTTTTAAGAGTTAAATGGAAACTTGTGAATGTTTCTGGTGGAGCAGAGGCAGATGTTTGTCTTCCCTGGTTAATGTTTGCTTTTCCATGGGCCACGTATTTTATCTAGCTGGTGTACTTTAGGAACCGCTCTGAACACGCAGAGCAGTAATACTGAGTGGATTATTATCCTTTGTTTGGCTGTCACAGACCTACATTTTCCCTCAGATTGTGTTATTTAACACTCAGCATGCAGTTTGACTAGTAGAAGACTCATCTCGAAAGAGGGAAATTTTGGAGCTTTTGATAACGTGTCACGCAGGGCCTTCTTCATCTCTTTGCATGGCTGCCTGTCATTCAGGTCTCGGCTTAAAAGATCCCCTGTCCCATCACCCTGTTAAATTCTCCACCTAGCAGTGATCCTTTTGTGGGTTTTTGTTTGTTGGGTATGTGTTCGGTTGTGTGTCGTCTCCCTTGAGAACATTTTCGTGCTTTCGGCTGTAGCCTGCATGCCTGCAGTGTGGTTTCTGAAGCATACTAACATTTGCTCAGTGAACATTTTTTTAAAATTATTGTGTAAGTGACTGAGTTTTTCAGGTTCTGGAGAACTTTTATATAGACAAAGCTCCCTGATTGAGGGGTTAAAATGGTAGTTTGAGTGAATAAATAGGAGATTTGTTCTTTTAATACCGCTTCTTCATGATATTAATAATTTTTGGTTACAAATAGGGAAGTAATAGATTTAAACCTGTCTTAATTCAGGAAGCTAACACCTTCTAGATGCAGAGGAGGGCATGGGATTCTTTCCTTTATGCTAAATGACCCAAGGCTCTTAGAGGAGGTAGGGTCTTGGGTGTTTAGGTTTTCCTTTTTGGTTCTAAATATCTGTCTGTCTGCTGGGCATCTCAGAGCCGGCACACTTTCCTTCTTGTTCTTCCTTCCTGCTACCTTGCTGTATTCTGAGAAGCCAGATTATCAAGTTAGTTTGAACACATATGTGAACATAGAACATAGTGATGTGGCCCTTAGGATCATGCCTAGTAAAGCAAATGAGCCTCTGACACTTTTATTCTGAGTGTTCTTAATTATGTCTATCTCTGTGAGTTGTTTTTTTTTTTTTTTTTAAAGATTTTATTTATTTGAGAGAGAGAGAATGAGAGAGAGCACATGAGAGGGGGGAGGGTCAGAGGGAGAAGCAGACTCCCCGCCGAGCAGGGAGCCCGATGCGGGACTCGATCCCGGGACTCCAGGATCATGACCTGAGCCGAAGGCAGTCGCTTAATCAACTGAGCCACCCAGGTGCCCCTATCTCTGTGGGTTTATATTTAATTTGCCTTTGCATATGTTCAGATGAGTAGGGGGGTCGGTTTGTTCGTTTCACAAATTATCGAACTTCAGAGGACCAGGCACCATAAACAGTGAGGCTCTAACAGTGAAAAAAATAGGGTTCTTGCCTTCAGGGAGTTAGTGATGTGGTAGAGTAAATAGGTAATCAGTAAAAGAAGTAAGTTACTGATTGTGGTGAGGGGTATAAAAGGCAACCAACAGGGAGCTGAGAGAAAAAAATGAGGTCTCCTACTTTGGGTAGAGTTGTCAGAGGAGGAGACACACCAGCCAAGATGTTTTTCTCATCAGCTTCATGGTGGTATATTTTATTTTCAGTAAAATTACACATTTTACATGTACAGATTACTTTTTTTTTTTAAGATTTTATTTATTTGACAGAGAGAGACATAGCGAGAGAGGGAACCCAAGCAGGGGGAGTGGGAGAGGGAGAAGCAGGCCTCCCGCAGAGCAGGGAGCCCGACGAGGGGCTCAATCCCAGGACCCTGGGACCATGACCTGAGCCAAAGGCAGATGCTTAACGACTGAGCCACCCAGGCGCCCCCAGATTAATTACTTTTGATAAATTTAACCACCTCCATCCTTTCAGTCAAGATAGAGAATGTTTCCTTCTCCCCAGAAAGTTTCCTCAGTACCCGTACTCTGCAGTCAGTGTTCCTGTCCCACTCCCCACTCTAGATAGTCACTGGTGTGATTATTTTGTTATAGATTAGTTTTGGAATTTTATATAATGCATTCATGTTATATGTATTCTTTAGTGTCTGACTTCTTCAGTGTAATTATTTTGAGAGTCATCCAGTTATGGTATGTATCAGTTCTTTTATTGTTGAGTAACATTTAATTGTAAGAATATACCCCAGTTTAGTCTTTCACTTAATGAGTTACTCCAGCTTCTTTATGCTTACTATTTAGATAATTTATCTTTTCCCATCCTATGCTTTCATCCTATGTCTTTATGTTTAAAATGGGTCTCTTTTAGACAGCATTTGGTAGGTCTTGCTTCATTATCTACTCTGGCATTCTCTTCCTCTTAATTGGGTGGTTTAGTCTTTTATATTTAATGTAATATTTAATTACATATTTAATATTTGATATTGTTGGGTATAATCCTACCTTCTGGCTATTTGTTTTCCATTTGTACCTTCTGGTTTTTGTTCCTTCCTTGGTCGTTTTCTGCCTTTTGGGTTAATTGAATATTTTCTAGGGTCTCTTTTTTAATTCTGTTGGTTTCTGGGCTAAACCACTGTATTGGTTTTATGTCATGTTAGTGCAGATGTGTGAACAGCTCAAGGTGTTCATTAAGCTCCTTTCACCTGGTGGGATGCAGCCTCAGCCAAGATATTTTGTCTTGATGGGAAAAATAGTGGCAGCTCTGTGACTTCAGACCACTTGTTCATTCTTTTCTGTCTTCTCTTGATCTCTCCCTTTTGGGAACTTCAGGTACTCAGGAAGACTGTTTTCCAGTTAAAATGGGCTGATACTTTGTTATTCATCTTTATTAACCTTTGGATCATGATATTGTTAACCTTAAAAATTAAACAGTTATTTTACCAGAAAAATGGATTTATTCAGAAATAGCAGAGAACTGCAATCCAGGACATGCAAGCTATGACAAATCATAGGCAAGTCCCACAGACAAAGGAGAACAACATTATTTTATGGAGAAAGGGGAAGATGGGAGGGGTTGTTGTGAGTGAAAGTCCATTGGAGAGAAGCAAGAGTTTGGGGGGATAACAGTTTTTCAATGGCTGATTGCTGGAGTAGTCAGTCTTTTTGTAGGAGTTGTTACATCTTTTCCTGTTGGGGCTTGTAATTCTTTTCCTGTTGAGGAGTTTCCTGTTGGAGTCTAATTGATCATTTTTTCCTGTAATTGACAGGGAGAGGTGCTGCCTCCCCCTTCTGGCCTCCCCACTCCATTTTAGTGGCTTCCCAATATATGTATCTGGAGAAACTACATTATTATTTGTTACTTTTGCCTGAATGCCCTGGATAAGTACAGGTCAACTCCAGCTCATAAACATAATGATTTCTCAGAGTTGAGTCCATGGTAAGAATTTCCCATAGAAATCTTATTAGTGGTAGCCACGAGAGCTCCCTCTCCTTAGTTCTGAGCAAGCTCGCTGGCTGTTCTGAAGCCCTGGAGATCAGCTCCTTTGGCGAGCCAGGCTGCAGAGAGGTGAGGGAGGAGTGTGTTGGGTGTGGGAGGCAAGAATAGGGATTATTCTAAGTCCTCCTTCTCCTTTGCTCTCTGCTGCCTTCCCACCCCACACCTGGGGAGACAGTATTAGAGAGTCGTTTTCAGCATATTGGTCATGTCTTGCATTCTCTCAGCTAAATATTGCCTTAGCACAGCATATTTTTTACTCCAGGGTGATGTTTTAGGAACTCCATGTTCTTACTCAAGGGATTTTTCTCTTAAGCTTCGATCTCCCTCCACAGAAAGCTGTTTTTAGAAGAAGATAAACTTAGCAATCATGTTTGTGTTTGCTCTTTTGTAGTCGAGCAAAAGATGTGATAATACCAGCAAAGCCACCTGTCAGCTTTTTCTCCTCGAGGTCTCCAGTGCTTGACCTCTTCCAGGGGCAGCTGGACTACGCAGAGCATGTTCGCCGGGACTCAGAGGTGGTGCTGTTGTTCTTCTACGCTCCGTGGTGTGGCCAGTCCATTGCCGCCAGGTCAGAGATTGAGCAAGCAGCGGGTCAGCTTTCAGACCAGGTAATGCCAACACTCAGCCTGCAAATGGATGACTCAGCCCTATGTGCAGGGCTGGTTGTTCCCAGAGATCCCTTACCCAGTTGGCTGACTGAGCCAGGGTGAAGGCCAGGAGCCTTACTTTAAAAAATTGTAATGCCTTCTATAAAGAAAAAGGATTTCTGATGGTAAGGGTCATAGTTGGTTAGAGGCAGGAGAGGGAGCAGGAGAGGGAAACACTGAGCTGTGTTTCCTTGTGATGCAGGTCAGTGTTCATCTCAGGGTGCCATGCTGTTTGGTTTCAATGCTGAAAAGCCTAGTTGAATATCCATTGGATACTTGTCCATGAGTTATTTTCTTTTCCTTTCTTTCTTTTTTTTAAATATTCACATTATTTATTTGAGAGAGAGAGTGCATGCGTGCGTGTGCATGTGCATGGGGTTGGGGTAAGTAGGGAGGGGCAGAGAGAGAATCTTAAGCAGGTTCCATGCCCAGCATGGACGCCGATGCAGGGCTGGATCTCACCAGCCTGAGATCATGGCCTGAGCCGAAACCAAGAGTCAGACTAAGCTAACCAGGTGCCCTGCTGTAAGACAGATTTATATGTCATGACTACAATGTAACATACTGACATTTTAAAAATACTTGGACCAAAAAAATAAATAAATAAATAAAAGTAAAAATAAAAAAATAAAAATACTTGGACCAGAACTATATGCAACAAATACTTAATGAAGGTTAACCTTTGTGCTAGACCAAAGGGCTGCACAAATGAGTTATCTATATGGCAGTGGTTTTCAACCCAGTGGATCCCAGTTGCCTTTTATAAAACAAATATTTTATGAGGTGTCTTTTGCTATCCTGAAAAGGAATTCATAGATGATAAAACTTCCCTACACATTAAATTGCAAAAGAGCCAATCTACTAATTATAAAGGTGGGGGAAACAAAGGTAACACAATCAGGTCATGTGTGTTTCAGGATGTAAATGCTGGGGCAAAATAGGTCCTGGTCCCTTTATGGAGAACTTTTGGGGTCAGACTGGTAAAGGTGTGTTGTGTTAGAGACTCAGGTACCGTGGGGACACTGCTCTCACTGATTCGAGTTTCCTAAGCGGTAAACAGCTCTTGGTAAAGGCTGGAACCAAACAAAGTAATTTCTGCCTTGGGTTTACATAGGAGTTGCCTTCCCAAGAAATTCGGTGAATACAAAAACCATACTTTGGATTCACAGATGAAATGGAATTAGGTCCTGGGCTTGATTACTAACAGACAGGTTTTCTCCAGCCTCATTGTTGGGCAGGACATTTCAAACTGCCCTGGGGTGCTCTTCCCTGTGCAACGCAGTTTCGAGCATCGTGGGCTGTCTCCCACAGTGCCTGCCCACCCCATGCCCTGTAGCTTCCCAGTCACTGCAACAAGCAGAAGAGATCGCACAGATTTCTAAAAGGCTGCTGCTGAGAACCACTCATCTGAGGTAATTTATGCAGGCAGCTGAGTTCCAGAAGTTTCTTTGGAACTCTGGGTTGGTTTTTCTTAGAAACAATGTTATAAATGCTGGTGAGGCTTTCTGCCCAACCTAGCAAAGCCTTTTGAACCATTATAGATCCCTGAATGTGGTGCAAAGTACTGTTTAAATCTAGCTCTTCATTAGAACTCTTCATTGCCTGGGACACTGGTTCTGAGGGGGTTGTGATTTTGTGTTCTGACTTTGGACCCATGGGATCGATCAGTTCCCAGTACTCCCTTTTACCCCCCCCCCTTTAAAAATGACTAATAATAGGGGCGCCAGGCTGGCTCAGTTGGTAAAGCATGTGACTCTTGATCTTAGGTTCGTGAGTTCAAGCCTCACATTGGGCAGTAGAGCTAACTTAAAAAAAAAAAAAAGGTAATAATAACCAAACTGGCAGACACTTCCAGGGAGGAAGCAGGAACTCTAATGGAGCGCTGGGAGGCAAGCGATAGGTTAGCATAAAAGAAGTCGCCACTTCATTCCCCAGGCATTGCCCAAGTTTTCTGAATTAAGAGAACATGTGGGGAACAAGGAGGAAATCTGTGTTTAGGGCAGGTGTCAGTTCCTTGTTACCGTATTGTGAGCTGAAGCAGCGGTGTCCTTCTGAGTAAGTTTCGGAGTGGCGTTCTGGTGTACTGGGCCCTGTGCAGTTTCTCATGACAGCTCTGCACACTGGCCCTGGCGTCGCTTGGAAGCAGGACCTCAGACTTGGATGGTGGAGCGGTTGGCTAAGGATCACATGACAAGTGGTGAAGGTTATAGTGCCATCCACAGCTAACGGGCACTGCTTTTTTCAAATGTTTTTTCCAGCTCCTTCCAAATGGAGAGCTTATTATTCTGTGTTCTCACTAGGGAAAAGGAGGGGGTTTATTTTTGGAAACAGGCAAAATCGTTTGAGCCACATTGCTTTAAGTAAAATTAGCAAACGTGGTAGATTGTGCCCTATTTTTGAATAAAAAAATGAGATGTCGCCTTTAAGTAAAGATATCGTTGTTTTCCTTTCTCATAAATGGACTCTAAAAGGAGCTCTAAAGAGCTTCCACGAAGTTTTGAGCAATATTGCTATTTATGACATGTAAGGAAGGCCTCTAAAAGTGACTTTTCATTTGTAATCTTCATATTTTTTCAATATTACTATGAAAATTTCTTCACATAGCAAAGGTAAAGGAATTGTATATATGATTGCCAGTTAAATGTTGTTAATGACATTTTATTTTGCTTATTTGATCATGTATTTATTTCTCTTACTATTCCTCCAGTCAGTGGTTCTCACCTAGAGGAAATTTTCTCCCCCAGGGGACTTTCGGCAGCATTTGGAGCTATTTTTGGGCATCACTATTGAGGGGGGGAAGCTGCTGGCATGTAGTGGGTACAGGCCAAGAATACTGCTAAACCCTACAACCAGTGTGTAGGACTGCCCCTCAACAAAGACACACATACAGAAAGCCTCCTACCAGTGGAAGGCCAAAATAGCAGTGGTGCTGAAGTTGAGAAACCCTGCTCTAATCTATGAACCCATCTTCTTTGGGGTACTTTTCCAAGTAGATTGGAGACACAGTGACACTTCTCCTGAAATATCTTAGCATCTACCTATAAATATGTGTTTAATTTGTATTTTTGCTGCTTAATACTACATTTTAGAGCATAGCTTTAATTATCTTATTCTTACTGGTTTTTAATGTAGTTGTTAAAAATGGCTTTTGATATTTGTGACGTTTTATTTGCAGCTAACATTTTTTTTCCTTCTCCCATGCTCAGTTTGACTGTCAAAGTAGAAAAAGCTCACTGGTGCTCATTGACTTTAGAATTCAAAGCAAATCATTTTCCTCTTGGACTAGACTGTAAAATACTGGTCAAATACTAGAGTCCTAGCTAGACACCATAGATGAAAGTCTGTCTTTTTTTTTTTGTGGTGGTAGATGATGACCTTCTTTGAATACCAGAGATAATTTTTTTCTCACTTTCTGTTTTGGAGAGGAATAGTTCCATTTCTATGATTTTTATCTTTAAAATCTTGGTAATTTTTCAGTTGTTATTCATAGTCATTTGAAACCTTTTTTGGCTCTGCAGGTGTTGTTTGTGGCAATTAACTGTTGGTGGAACCAGGGGAAATGCAGAAAACAGAAGCATTTCTTTTATTTCCCTGTGATATATCTGTATCATCGGAGGTAAGAATTAGTTTTCTAATTCCAGTTACGTTCCGAAGTGAATTTTTTTTCTGTTTAAAAGTATTAGATATTCACTGTAGGAAATTGAGAAAGTACAGATAAGCAAAAAACACAGATAAGCAAAAATAAGAGGATCCGGATATTTAATCAGCCATACATAATCGTTATGTGTTTTGATTTATATCGTCCTCTGACTATACACATCCACCCTCTTTTTTTTTTTTCCAAAATAAAAAAATGGGATTGTGTAGTAATAGTATTTCCTAAACTGCTTTTTCTTGCTTGTGTGAACATTTTTTTCATACCATTACGTAGTGTATGGCATTGGTTTTGGTAGTGCTAGCGGCCCTATTGTGCGGCTGTACATTTCAGACATCCTGAAGTACTTTATTGTCTGAAAATACACAAAGGTCCTTATCCTGTCACCTGGCAACATACATAAGCAGGAGGGAATCTTAGCACCTTTTCAGCTGGGAAGAAAGTTACTATGAGTCCCCGGTCCTATGCCCATAATCCTGAAACCCAAAGAGCTTTGAAGACCTGAAAAGTTTTCGTAAATTTTGTTCCGTATGCATTCATCTAGCCTGAAGTAACAAGAGGCTGCCTTTGGTCTTTATCCCACTTAAGGAGCCAGTTTATTTATTATGCTGCAGAAATATTGGTGTTTGATTTTGGAATACTGCCCAGACGTTGCTGTGAGTGTTAAGTAATGTCTAAAATCGGTCTTGAAGAATTTTGGAGACAGATGAGACTTTAGACTTTGTTCAGTGTAATTGGCTTGAAGTTTGTTAATGAAGGTAAAATGGGTAAAGAATGTTTGATTAGTAGGAACTTTACTTTTTATGCTTTATTTTTTCCCTCCCTCTGAACTTCCTAGGCTTTAATCAGTGAGGATTTATAAGAAACATCAAACTATCATTTGTGGATTATCTGTCACGTTCCATCACACCTCATGTTTCTAACATAAAATGTTGTGTGGCATGTAGTATTGTTTCTCAAGAGCTGTTAAGTAATATTTGAGCAAAAATGCACTTTCTTACCGCATCTCCACCTTCAAAGTCTCTTCTAGATACAAGAGTACTTCTCAGAGAATAAACTGTTGCATTTGAAGATGCTAAAGCTGTCTGCTCTGTAATGGGATAAATAAGCTTGCCCTGCGAAGGTCCCTGCAGTTCTCTTTTTGGAAGTAGACAATATTTGGAGATAGGAAATAGGTCACAGGTGCCTAGTGAGGAGTATAGGCCTTGCCACTAGGTAACCCAAGTCAACTGTCCAGAGGTGGGCCTAATTTGATGTGATACTAAAATCAGGAGACTTGCCTTGAATCAAGTACAAAATATCTTTTTGGGTTATATGGCTGTGCAGTATATTGTCTTATACTGTTTGTTTTCTTAGATTTATGGAAAGATTGAAAGGACAGGCAAGGAACCTTAGAAACATCTAGTCCATCCTTCTCATTTTATGAGGAATTTGAGGTTGATACTCTCCTTGAAGTGCTTGCCCCTCATCTTTGCCTGTTAGGTTTTACTTGTTTCAGTTCGTTCAGACCTCTTAATACTCACTTGAATATCTCCCATTCCCAGTGTACCAAAAACAAGCAAGTGCTAAGGCACAGAGATACCTGAAAGGTAGCCTTTTCATATCCCGTTTAAGAATCTGCAAGTTCTCTGTTCTATACATAACACACATGAATGAATGTGTGTCTTCAGCTAAGCTCTCCTGTGACCTTTCGGTGGTGCTGAGGTTCTCTTGGTTAATAGTGCTTGCAAATGTGGCCCCTCAGCCTCATCCCTGGGCAGACAGACCATCGCTGTCCGTGTGTTTCTGTTGTTCCTGTGTTCGTAATGGCTTACCTACTAGTGGCTGCTGAGATTAATAGACTTTCTGTTTTGCTTTTAAGTAGATTCCATTTTTTTTGCTTGTATTGATACCACTCACTAAGAAAGTTTATAAAAGGCTCTAAGGCAGGGAGTAGTTTCTTCTAACACTCTGTTCACGGCTCAGCAGCCCTGGATCAGCTCGTCCCGTGGTCGTGACTGTGGCATGTTGGTAAAATGTGTTCTGCACCTGCATTCTGAGATCTTCTCAGCTTTTACAAGTCACTGGGATCCTTCTAACGACCCTCCAGGAGGCTGTTTGCCTGAGTAGATGATGTTTCCAGATTTGTTGGCTCCGTTTTGCTGAACAAAATGTGTTATCAGATGATTTTTTGATTTCTTCCTTTAAATTAAAAATTGTTAGTGGCTGATGGGGTTGGTGGTGGTGGTACTTTTTAAACTAATGTAGGTCTTGAATTGATAGAGTTGTTAACTCTGTCTCCCAGCTGTACATGTAGAGCGCTATTTTTACTTTTTTCATGCTAACATTCTTTTGTTTGGCATCATATTTTCAGTGCACCCTGAAGAATTGTGTTTATCTCATCCCATTATATGTGTGTTTGTCATTTATGTAAGCATATGGTATTGGGATCACAGCATTTATGTAAATCTTTACTATACTCTGTTTATTTTGCTATTAACAGCAAGCTTAATGTCAATTTCTATTTAGACAGAAGAATGGTTATGGAGTTACTGTATTTCACCTTACTCCCCCATCCCGCCACATACCATTCAGTTATGTTTGAGCAGCGTCTGCATTGTGCAAGATTGAAGAAAGCCATGTGAGGATTCTGATTAGCTTAGGAGGGTAACTGAAAGTTGGTCTTATTTCTTAGCAATGCTAAATCAAATTCCTGTGCATCCCTAAGCACACCTGGAAGGGAAAATAAGATCATTTTTGGAGATCCCTAACTTTGTCCCTTCCCATTATCCTTTTTTGTTATAGTAAAGCGTTCAGTAGGTTTCAGGTTATTTAGTGATCCTTTGTGTAAGTGCCTATGGGAATATTTAGTAAGTACGTTTTAGTAGGCCAAGGGCTAGTTGCTCAGCTTGTTTTTTATTTCAGGGTGATGTGTAAAAGAAAGCACCCCCCCCCCACGTTGAATTAATTGAATGAATTGATCCTGCAATCCTTTAGCATTTGGTCAGTTTCCAGGATTGCCTTTCTGTTTGGTTTTGTTTTTTAAAGAAATATCATTATGGGGATTTTTCTTTTTCCCCCAGAGGCTAGAATGAATGTTTTTTGTTTGAAATTCAGTTTGCAGTTGAATTAAGCTCATAGAAAAGAAGTGGCTGCTTGTGCCACCCGGCACATGAAATGCTTACTCTCAGTTGGTCCTCCATTCACCTCCCGGGACACAGGCTACTTACCTACGAAGCAGTCAGGATCGTCTTGTGGTGTTGATGATTTCAGTTATACGTTACAGGTTTAATGCATGGTGTATTATTTTTATTTTTTTATTTTTATTTTTTTGGTACTAGTTTTGGACCAATCGAATACAAAGGCCCCATGAGTGCTGTTTACATTGAGAAGTTTATCCGCCGGGTGATGAAACCACTTCTCTACATCCCATCTCAATCAGAATTACTAGATTTTCTCTCAAACTACGAGGTACCTGTCTTTCATATCTCCTCCCATCCCCAAGGTTTCACTGGGTTGTGTTGGATTGTTTATATTAGAAGGGTTTTTTATACCTCTTGATTTGCAGCAATGAAAAGATCACATTATAGATAAGCCCCAATTAAATGATTTTTGAGATACTCGATCGTAGGGATGGTTTGGCCGAGTGAGTTTTGAGAGAATGGAACACTTGTAAACCTTGTGAATTTTTTGTTTGGGAATTTCCAGCAGACTTTCAATTTGTCTTATGATGAGCTTAGAGCAGATAAGAATTAACTTACAGGTTTATATGCACCTGCAAATTTCTAAAAATTTTATTTGATACTGTATGGCATGTTACTATGGAATACTTGGTTTTACTTGTCAGCTGTAGTTTAGCTTTAAAAAAAACTGGGAATGTGTGCCCTTCTATTTTATAAAGTGCATAACTCTTTCAAGGTCTTATTAACAGAAAGTTTCCTAACATGGCTTCTCTGCTGCTTTCCCATTGCCAGCTTCATCCCCTGATAAATTGTTTTTTATAGGATCTTCAGTGTGTGTTCAGGACCTCTTATTATTGAGAGGCCAGTATAAAGCTTAAAATAATCTCAATAAATTATAAGAACAGTTCCACAGAAGAAGTCATTGCAGCAAGTGTAAATCATACTTGGGTACAGCAAGTAAAAGTGATACCTAGATACAGGACCATAGGTACCTGAGACATAAACCCTACGAATCCAGACCTCACTGAGGATTTAGTAATTGTGACTGGGTTGGATTTTACCTTTTGCACTGGGGAGATTTTATGTAGATTGGACATGAATTTCTGTCGTTACAGCTTTTCGGTCATGTTAGGGACACTGTTTATGTGTTAACTCTGAGTAGATTCTTTAAGCAGCAGTGTTAATATCTAGTTATTCTGCTTGTAAGTTCTCAGCTGTGCATTAGAGTGAATGTGTCCTTACTCTTACGTGGCTATGGGATGGCTTTCCATGCCCCTCACAGGCTTGTCTCTCGTTCTGCGAGGGCAGGCACGGGATGGCTCTCCATGCCCCTCACAGGCTTGTCTCTCATTCTGCCAAGGCAGGCTGGCAGCTGGGAGCCACCCTGGGTGCCTGGGCCTGGTCCCACTGGCAGCACTAACTGGTTCTGTGACATGGGGCAGGTCACTCACCTGCCAGGCATCAGGGGACTGGAACGGGCATTTAACTCTTAGTTGCAATAGTTGTGTGATAGGTGGGTTTTCATGTAGATTTGCAGTAGATGACGGTCACGGAGGCGGTACGGCAGAATGGTGAAGAATCAGGACTTAGACACCGAGCTCCGTCACTTGTTAGCTGTGTGGCCTATGGGCTTCTTAACCTCTTTAAGCCTCCATGCCTTCATCTATAAACAGGGATTAAATAAGACATGAAAGTGCCTGCAGGATGTAGTCCCAATAAATGAAAACTTATCCATAGAAATGGCGTCATGGGAAAATCCTGGATATTTAGCACTATTGAGAGAACTCGACATGTGTGTAATGTTTGCTGGAACTTCCTACTTATATAAGAAATCTTTTGTTTGTTTTATAATTAAGATGATAAAAAATGACCTGCAGGGGTGAAGAGGTCTTCCTTCAGGTAGGCTTTGTAGGGACTTCTGTAGGACACTGTGCCTAGTTTTGCTTGAAATCCTGTTTTTTTCTTTACATTTTCACTGAGTTTCTCCTAAAAAATAAAGGGAAAATGGCAGACGAGCAATGGCACATGAATAAATAGTATATATTATGTGTTTACCCTTTCAAAGAAAAGTATGGAAAACATTGAGATCACTTAGCCTTATAATAAGAGTACTGAGAGGCAACTTCATTATTATTTTCAGCTCCTTTGGAGATCTGTATCCAGAGTTCAGAGCTAGTTCTTAGCAGGGGTCATGTGATAAGGAGTAGGACTCAGCTAGGACTCTAGAGGTCTAGGTTTTAGTCCTGACATTAGCAAGTCTCTGACTTCTGAGTTTTATACAGATTTCTAGTCTCTGAAGGTAGGGAATTGGCTCACATAATCCCTTCTGACTGTTTTGACTTTGATGAAGTTTAGAGGCTGAAAGAGGGAGGCAGAAGAAGGTTCATCAGTTATTGGTTGGGGAAGTTTTTTTGAGACATGCCTTTGAACATCTGTATCAGAGCTCTTTCTGATCTTGTTTTGTTTATGGCCTCTATAGTGTCTCTGTGGTTGGACCTGCAGGAGAGAGGCGAGTTCCCCTTTATGACTGAGCAGCAAAGCTGGTTCCTTACCTTTAGCCTCTGCATTCTCTGAATCTACTTGTTAGCAGTGCTTTCAGAGATGATGCTCAAAGTTTGACGCTGAGTTCACATCAGACTCACTGATGTGCTGGTGACATTACTCATTTCGGCGGCCTGCTGAGTTAGAATGATGTACAGCAGTGTTCAGACTGCCTTTAAAACAGGACCAAGAAGGTGCTGCCAAGATGGGACCCCGTATGGCCTGTCAGCCTTTAGAATGCTTCCTCCCAAAGTGGTAGATAGCTTTTATCATGTTAGTATCATCTTTCACTGGGCTGCTTCTCACTGAGATGAAATTGCCTGGTTGGCAAGAGACAATATTTGATTAATGGTGAAAGAACTCAGGAGGCCAGCCCAGCATGGCACTTGTGAAACCATCTATCTTGTGAAACCTGCCAACACTGCCTAGATGGTCTCGGTTTCGTGCACACTCTTTGTAAGATGACGTAACGGCAAAATGTTAGATCCAGAAATGAAACCACCGCCATGGCTTCGAGAGTCGAATAAAGAGGAAAGGTAAAGACATTTTTGGAGGCCCCGCTATAGAGCACAATATGCTTCTGGACATTCCTCTGAATTAAGGTTTCCCAACCTCGGCATTATTGACACTTGGAGTCAGGTAGTTCTGTGAGGGTGGGGGCTGTCCCACACTTTGCAGAATGTTTAGCAGCAGTCTTGGCCTCCACCTACTGGACACCTGTAGCACTTCCTTCCGCCCTTAGCTGTGACAACCAAAAATAGCCAGGCATTGCCAGATATTCCCTAGGGGGACAAAATCACCTCAGTTGAGAATGTCTCTTGTAAATTACTGTTTTTCCCAAATAAGGCCTTAGGATGCTTCACAGGTATTAGAACAAACAGATCTTTTTTTTTCAGGTAGCACGCAGAATGCCACAATCTAATTGTTGCAAGCTTATCTCATATCACAGTGGCAGAGAGAATATGGAAATCAAGCAGTGCCTTGACTGGAAAATCCTGGAGCGTTATCTGGGGGGACTAGAGACAGGATGAGTTGTATTGTCATCAGTAGAGCTGTCCGTGATGTTCAGTCTTATACTCATTGTTACTGCCCCTCCCCACAAAATATACTTCCTAATATGTTAAGGGTCTTGCTAATTTAAAGAAATCTTACTATGAAAGGTACATCTTTTGATCAAGAGCCTTATCTCGTAATTTTTGTGTTTTGTAAAGGGATTTCAATATTAAGTGTATTTAAATTTAAGTATACCAGAATTGGGCTAAAATAATGCTTTAATGTTTTTGTGGCACTTCTGAGGTTTGTTAGAATGGCAATGCTTTTTGCTTATGTCTCTAGGTGTGTTTGTGACATCTTGAAGGAGTACATTTGATAATTGTCCCCTCATTAAAAAAAACCATACTGATTAATTGTAAATTCATTTGTCTTTAATCGAGATATTTGTGAGCAGTTTGGACCGTCATAAAATTGTGCCATTAGTGTTTATTACTTGGGAAGTGATGATATTCTGGAAGTAATAACCTTTAACATAAACTTTTATTATGTGTATCCTGACCATATATGTATATGCTTATGTTGCTGTCACAAAGAGAAATGCTCTAGTTTTATCTTGGTTTGAATTTTTGTAAGTCCCTCAGATGAATCCTTCCAAAAGCCTCTTTCAGTTGATTTGATACTGAATTATCGAAACCAGTAAAAGTTTTTAACCAGTGGAAAACATTGTATTTAACTTGATATCTCAAACCTGCCCAAATCGGTTTGCTCGTCATTAACTCTAGTTTTCTAGGTTTTAGTCCTGACATTAGCAATGTCACTGAGCCTGGATGCACTGAGTAGAATATGACACTGAGCCTGGATGCAGTTTTTAGGAAAATAATTTTGCCTTTGATTTATTGAACATCACAGAAAGACATTGCAGGGTGAATATTATAAATACTTGTTTCTGTAAGTTCCAAAATACTTTACTTGTTATTAGCCAACAAAGAATGTGTAAACTATGCTCTGGTAAAGTGCCCTCCAGTTTTCACGTGCTTTTGCTTCTGATCTTCCTCAATAGCCATGTGAGATAGAAATGATAGGTCCTTCTAAACAGATTCAGAACGTGGGGGGCACGAGTGGGTGTTCTATGTAGGATAGTCACAGTATCGAGGCAGGGTAACGTCTAGATTTTTCTTCTCAGATATGCACTAAAATCATACCTGCCTTGGAGCACCTGGTTGGCCCAGTTGGGAGAGTGTGCACTCTTGATCTCGAGGGTTGTAAGTTTGAGCCCCATGTTGGGTGTAGAGATTCCTTAAAAATAAGTAAGTAAATAAGTAAATAAATAAATGAAATCATACCTGCCTTATAAATAATGAATGCCACTAGAAACTGAGGTAAACTTGCCAGTGGATACTGCAGAGGGAGAAGAAGAGCTTGAAGTCCTCCTGTTGCAAACCATATTAAGAAATTCTACTTTCGGGCTCCTGGGTGGCTCAGTTAGTTAAGCGAGACTGCCTTCGGCCCAGGTCATGATCCTGGAGTCCCAGAATCGAGTCCTGCATCGGGCTCCCTGCTCAGCCGGGAGTCTGCTTCTCACCCGACCCTCCTCCCTGTCATGCTCTCTGTCATTCCCTCTCTCTCTCAAAAAAAAAAAAAATCTTAAAAAAGAAAAAGAAATTCTGCTTTCTTCATTCCCTCCATCTGTAGAATCCCTCTTCCTTGAGGGTTCTTCCTGCCTGTTTAAGATACAGACAGGAAAGTGTCGTTTATTACTTGTGGACAACATAGACAAACATATGCCAGGGGCATTTTTATTTTGGTGAATGTCGAGTTGAGTGGGCAGGGAATAGCGTTTGGTAATGGTAATGTCACTTACAAGGTCAGGAGTTCTATGACTCTTCTAATTTTAGTATTTTTTTAGGTATCATTTGACAGGTATCAGTAGCTTCTACATCAATAATGCTTTTTTGTTTTTGAAAACACTTGACAGAATCATCTGATTTGTGCCTTGTAACCTACCTACCAAAAGCCAACAGTATTATTTAGAATGCTTATCTTGTATTTGCAGCCAAAATAGTTTTTGATTCTTTTCATGAGTTTTCTGTAATTTATCCACTTACGATCAGTGATTTAGCGTACATCCATTAATTTATTCTTAGCAGGTTTGGCAAACCACATTGTTTTAAATTTAAGTGGGATGGGGAACAATCTTGGGAATCTTTTGGAGGGGAAAGTTGGGTGTTAGGAAAATTGCCTGGTGATAGAAAACCTGAGCCTTTTGGAGAAAAACCTAGTAGAATGCCTGGCACCTGCTGTTACCTGTTGTTTGTTAGTAAAAGTCTACTCTGCAGTTGAGCAAATAAATAGGTACCACCTCTGTCAACTCCTAGGTTGATAGCACCGTGAATGAAACAGTTCTGAATTTTCTCGGGTGTGAGTTGACATTAGTAAGAAATACTTCCAGTGCCAAGGAGTAGAAACACTGAGGTTACTGTTCTTACGGCCACTAGAGGGTGTGCACCCCGTCTGCCAAAATGTATGCCTCACTGCAAATGGTGTTCACTTAGCAAAGAAATACTTTATGCTGATGAGGTTTGCTGGCCTCCTATAAATAGCCTCTTTCCAGCCTCCTCATGATAGCAGGTGCTGAGTATACTGTACCCCAGGGAATGGAATTAAAAGCATGCAAACTGGGTCAAGTTGTAATCTGGTACTCATCATGTTTTAGTCTTGCTAAATTGTAGGAGGCGCTTTGTCTCATTTCTCTTTTTGTCTCCATTCTTCCACTCATTCACAAATGTTTATTTTGTGCCTGCCCGGTGCCAGGTACTGTCTGAAGTGGATATGTAGTGATGAACAAGAGAGACCCTCTGGAGATAAACAACAAACAGGAACACAGACAAGGTGCAGGGAGTTGAGAAGTGTCCTCCCAAAATGCCTGTCTGCCCGGAACCTCAGCATTGGCCTTATTGGGAGATAGGGTCTTTACAGGTGTCGTTAGTTAAGGATCTCGAGATGAAAGCATCCTGGACTTAGAGCAGGTCCTAAAGACACCCAGTAACTGGTGTCTGTATAAGAAGAGGAGAGGACACAGAGACACCGGCGAGAAGGCCATGTGAAGCCACAGGCAGACACGGGAGTGGTGCAGCCACAGGCCAGGGAATGTCTGGAGCCACCAAAAGCTGGGGAAGAGGCAAGGAAGGATTCTTCCTCGGAGCCTGCAGAGAGAGCACAGTCCTGCTGCCCTCCTGATTCCGCACTGCTAGCCTCTAGAACTGTGAGAATAAATGTGTTGTTTGAGGCCACTGAGTTTGAGGTAATTTGTTAGGGCAGCTCTAGGAAACTAATGTACAAGGTCGTTTCAGATAAGTGCCCACAGGAAAATGAAGGAGGGTGATGTGGTAGACGCAAGGGCAGGGAGGAATGGTATAACTGATTTAGAAGACAGGGAAGCCTTTCCTCTGAGGAAAGGATGTCGCAGCAGAAACTTCCACTGAAGCCTGTGTGTGAGGCAGCCCTGAGGAAAGATGGAGGGAGTGCTTCAGGAGGAGGGAACAGGAAGTCAGAGGTCCTAAGGAAGGACTAGGACTGGTGGAGCCAGAGCAGAGGGCACAGTGGTAGGAGAGGAGGTCACAGAGGTGTCTTCCTACTGTCGTGGGTCCCGATTAAACCTGACCGTGACACGCGTGAGGGAAGAGCACGGGCACTTGAGCTCCTGTGTCCGCTCATCTGGTGGCCAGTTAAGCATCCAGGAATGGACCAGTAGGACCCTGGGGGTGGAAGACCTTCACACGTTGGTAAGCATCCGAGTGAGGAGGGACAGCCTGTGGATCGGCAGGTCTTGCTCCCCAACTTCAGCCCAGCGTCAGGCAGGTCTACGTGCTCGGCCGGCTCATCTGAAAGAGCCTCACAGGGGCGGGGTCTGGACAGAGTCGTCTGCCTGGCAGTGGGCCCTGGGTTTATTTGCTGCTGAGCAAACTATGGGCCTGGACCTAGAAAGGTCCTTGTGTGTGAATATGCACTTTTTTGTTTGAAATATTTTAAGGTTCATTCTCAAACATGCCGGTTTTCAAAATTTAATACAGACCATTAATGGTATTGTGCATATTTGAAAAATAACACTTGAAATAGACTTTGCCTGTTCCTTGTGTTCTGAATGGCTAGTTTTTTACAATTTCTGTAGCTTTGTATCATCCCCTGTAGTTGTTGAGTCTTATGGTCTTCATTTCTTTGGCAATGAGAAGTGAAAATAATTTTGCAGATGGGATTACTTGCTTTGTATTGTTTATGGGATTGCTTTGGTCAAAGTGCTTGAAAATTGCAGTGCTGGTTCTTTTGAAGATGAGGCTCCTTCCTCCAAACTACGAAGGCCCTTGGAAAACTGCAGCTGTGAGGCTGTCAACAAGAAGAAATTCTTCCCTTATAGAGGTGTCCACCCTGTTACTTGTTTTGAAAGGTTGAGTTTGGGTTTTCCTTGAAGACTTCGAATTCGCATTTTCCTTACTTCACTACTATGTGTACCCGTTCATATGTATGCATGAACATGTGTAGTTGCACCATGCGTGTAGACAGATGCATGCTTGTGGGCCATGTGTCCACTCTTAGCATGAGTGAGAAGAGGGCTGAAATTGACCTCATTTAATTTTTAGCCACGAAACAGTTATTAATATGTAGGATGAATTTATTCCATTTGATTTTGGTTTGGAAGATTGGTCAGAATTTAAAGAAACTTAAATGAGTCTGTTGTCTTTCTGTTAGTTTCCATTTTTGTTATCTTTTGTGCCCAATATTAACGAAGTGACTAGAATTTCTAAAGATGTTGTCTTTCTTTGTTTTCGGTAGAAGCGCTTATTACACTGTCATAGCCTTGTTTGAAACCGTAAGAACCCAAACACTGTAATTCTACTTGAAGTCAGTTCTGGGTCGGCTTGTTAAAAACATGTTGAAGGAGTTTAGCAGAAAAAATGTTGTTTTCTGATTTCCTCAGTTGTTTGAGAAATAAATTTATGTGCTGTTTTCTTTTTTTTAGATATTAGGATTAAACATTCTGACTCTCTGTTTCTAAAAACCAGTTGGTTTATTTAAAATTGAATCTTAAAATAAGCAAGTGTATTAGATTTGAAAGGGTGTGTTTTCCACTACAGATCAGAAATTTCCCCTTTTTTTACAGTGTACTGATGTAAAATTTTACCAACAGATTAAATTTCTACTTTACCTTTGGGATCTGATTTTGTCCCAGTGATCAGATCAGCTCCATTTACTTATTAAGCATGTGCTTTAGGGCCAGAAAGGGGTCTTTACATTTGCCTAGTGCTTTATCAAGCTCATTCTTCTCAGTAACCTTGTGATGAATTGTCCCCATTTGCCAGAGAAGGAGGCTGAGGCTTTCCATTGAAGTGTCCACCCAAGACCATTCAGTGTCAGACTCCAGGCCCAGCACTCTTTCCCCAGGGATCTCACAGTTTGGCTTTTAGGGCAGATACGATTATCACAGGATGCCACCAGACAGAATTTGTGCCACAGGGCCTTCAAGAGAAGGAAGCAGTTACCCTGACGTGGAAGGCAGGATTGGTCTGGTAGGAGACAATTAATTGGTTTGGCAGAACGCAGGGGTGTTCTGTGCTAAAGCTTAGATAAGTGGATTGAGCAGGTGGAAAGAAACTTGTGGGAGTGGAGGAGCAAGAGGGTAAGAGATGGGCCTTCCACAGACTGACCTGACCAGAGAGGAAGGTTGTCATTGTATAATGTGGGGGTCTGGGTATGGGGGCAAAGAGCCCCTGGAAGGATGACCTTGAACACTAGCTGAGCCAGTCTCATTTAACCTGATTTCCCTAAGTGTGAAGGCATGTTTAGAGTAAATGAGAGGAAGCGATTGAGGAAGAAATCTGAGAAAGGTTATAAAGAAATCATTGATTTAGTTTGCCTAGAGGCACTAAACAAAAGGCATGAGTTACTCGTCTTGATGGTGAGGTTTCTAGCCAGGGATCTAGAAGAACTCTAAGCAGGGCGCCTGGGTGGCTCAGATCGTTAAGCGTCTGCCTAAGAACTGTAAGCAGAGGGTGGAGAGATCGATCCACTTAGGGAGAGGGAAGGAAGTTTCAGCTCTGAATGCCCCTGTGAACGCTCTGCGTCTCCATCCCTTACCCTGTTGGTTGTGTAGATGGAGGGAAAGCTCAGTACTGTTCGCAACTTTGTTCATGTGGTTAGCCTTCTTAAAAAATGAAACACAACAAATTGCAGTTGCCAAATAATGATGGCATGTCCAGATATAAAATATTCCTGTGACGCAGTGGCCTCTGGTCCCTCAGTCACCTCATTCTGCTCTTGTTCCTGCAGCCTGGAGTCCTCGGCTACTTTGAGTTCAGTGGCTCGCCCCAGCCTCCTGGTTATCTGACCTTCTTCACTTCAGCACTGCACTCACTAAAGAAAGGTAAAAATAATTCCTATCCAGACATTGGTACTTGCAACAAATGTGTGTATATTTAGATCTTCTTTTACATATGTTACCCTTATGATTCTATATTTAAATTTCCCAATTCCTTTTCTCTGTATTTATATAAAATACACTGTTTTGTGTTCTGTTGGCAAACAAAATACTATGCTATTTCAAATACAGTCTAGTCTCTAAGATTTGTAGCTTTTTAAACTGTGGTTTGATCATACTGTGTCTGCAATTATATATTTTGCAGTTGAAAATTTATACCATAACCTTTCTGAGTGTATAGTTACAAGTTTTGGTCAGAATTTTAGTGGTTATATTACCAGTTGGATATACCATAATTTGGGAATACATTTCCTTTGGGGAGTATTTTTACAAGTATAAAAGTCATATCACATTACAGCATAAGTATGCATATATATATATATATATATGTATGTATATGTATAATTTTGTTTTATTTGTTTATACTCAGCTGAATCATACATTATTTGAGGTCCCTACTTTTTAAATGAAACATTGTGTCCTGCCCATCTTTTCATGTTGTTCCATGTTCTTCTCTGTAACAGTCATGACCTCCTGTCAGTTTTCTGTTGGATACACTTTCATCTGCTCACTTGTCTGTCTTCTCTGATACACTTTCATCTGCTCACTTGTCTGTCTTCTGTTACCGTGCTGGTCCAGGCCCATTCCCCCACCCCTGGACTAGGCCAGTGGACCCTCAGCTGGTACCCACTCTTGCCCCTTCTTCCTCACATTAGGGTCCATTCTCCCCAGCCTCTAGGGCCCAGGTCTCCACTTGTCAGACCCCAATTCATCCTTCAGGGTCCAGTCAAATACCACTTCTACAGTTTCCCCCGATCTCAGTTGGGTATCCTATTGCTTCTCATTTGTAGCACTTAACATAGTTTATATTTATGTATGAAGTTATGAGATTTGTTTAATGTCTGTCTTCTTCCTCAGACTGTGCAATTTCTGAGGGTGGGGCCCGTGTCTTCAGGAAGTGCTTTTCCTCCAGCATCTGGCACATAGCAGGGGTTCAGTCACTGTTTGCCAAGTGAGCGATCAGAGTGATGGCTGTGTCATCTTTCCCCCAGTAGATCAACCAAAAATATGTAACTGTCCTTCTGTTACTGGGTATTAGATTGCTTCCATATTTTGAGGGGAGGAGGATTAGAATAGTATACTAGTAATACATCAAACAGTCATATGACTGGCCATTTTAAGATAGACACTGTCTTAGGGTTGTATGCATAGAGAACTACTGCATTCGTGTTTTTCACTAGGGACGTTAAGAGAGGAAATCAGGCTGTCACATAAGTATGTGTCTGTCCACTTGAAAGACTGAGCTGCCCAGATTCAGGTGACTAAGAAGACTTAGTGTGAGTTAAAATTTTGAAAGCAGCATACTGCCAACATAAAAAAGCTTGAGAAGCCGGTACTCAAAAATGTTTTTAGAAAATGAAAGCCCCGGGGCGCCTGGGTGGCTCAGTCGTTAAGCGTCTGCCTTCGGCTCAGGTCATGATCCCAGAGTCCTGGGATCGAGCCCCGCATCGGGCTCCCTGCTCAGCGGGGAGTCTGCTTCTCCTTCTCCGTCTACCACTCTGCCTACTTGTGCTCTCTCTCTGTCAAATAAATAAATAAAATCTTTAAAAAAACAAAAAACAGGGCGCCTGGGTGGCTCAGTTGGTTGAGCGACTGCCTTCAGCTCAGGTCATGATCCTGGAGTCCCTGGATCGAGTCCCGCATCGGGCTCCCTGCTCTGCGGGAGGCCTGCTTCTCCCTCTCCCACTCCCCCTGCTTGTGTTCCCTCTCTTGCTGTGTCTCTCTCTGTCAAATAAATAAAATCTTTAAAAAAAAAAGAAAAAAAAAGAAAGAAAATGAAAGCCCTGGGGCGCCAAGTGGCTCAGATGGTTAAGCATCTGCCTTTAGCTCTGGTCGTGATCTCTAGGTCCTGGCATTGAGCCCCGTGTTGGACTCCCAGCTCAGTGTGGAGTCTGCTTCTCCCTCTGCTTCCCCTCCCTGCTCATGCTCTCTCTCTCTCTATCTCTCTGTCTCAAATGAATAAATAAAATCTAAAAAAAGAAAAAAAAATGAAAGCCCCCTCAGAGATCTCAAGCGAAAACTGTACGTGAAAGGCCAGTCTGCAATCACTTCCTCATCGACATGATGGTAGCATTCAAGTTCTTAAGTTGAAGAGGACATTTCGAGATGGTGGAAGGATGTTTTATTATCTGGTTAGCTTATGTTGTGTGCTAATGATTCATCTTAAATTACTTTTTCATTCAGAGGTTTTCAAAATATTACTTCTTTTTTGGAAGAACCTTTCCAAGTACAAGATACAGTAATCTTTTAGCCCCCTTTTTTTCTTTTCTTTTTTTAAGCAAAGGAAGGTGATAAATGGGTAAAAACTATTTGAAGGAACAAAGTAAACCTCTTTGGTCGAATCCCTAATATTGACAAATGATCACAGGCAGTTTCTTCTCAGAATAAATCTAGTCTCTGATTACCTTGGCTACATTTCTTCCCTAGCTTGTGACTCTAGTGGGGTCTGGTAAAATCCTTTTGCATATGAACTTTGCAAGAGCGGAGATTCATTCTAATTCATCATTTTTCACTTCGTTTTTGTGGGTAAGCTCTCACTTAAGTTTAATGAACCATTTTTAGAAGAAAAAGACAAGTTTGGAATGATGACTTCCCATAATATGTGCACTAAAACCTTGCTTTGGGCATCTGGTTTTTTCCTCCACTTTTCTTTCTCATACCCAGAAGTCAGACAGTATTTTACTTATTAATAGTAGCTGTTCAGTAAGAGAAATGTGTGCACACTTTTTTTTTAATGTTATAGTTTGAAATGTAAATTATAGGTCAAGGTTGTATTTAGATTGTGTACAACAAATTGAGGCCTAAGGCACATTTGCCTCACTTAACAATTGGTTATGGAGAGCTTAACTAAAGAAGTGTTTAGTCTGTTGTGGTAGAAAGCAGATGTCCTGGTTTAACATGCCACAAGTGTTTACAGAATGCACGTATCTTTCCATTGCCTTTATTTTTTTTAATTGTCTTAGAAATAGCCAGGACGCTCTCTAACATTTGTCTTAAGGTAGCTGGCTGGCATGAGTGGACAAGTATTTTGAGAACGTACCGTGTCTAGGTGTGGAGGGTGTGCTATGAGAGAGTACATGCCTACCTCAAGAATGCGTGAGTTTAGTTGTTTTTTTTTTTTAAAGATTTTATTTATTTATTTGAGACGGAGAGAATGGGAGAGAGAGAGCACATGAGAGGGGGGAGGGTCAGAGGCAGAAGCAGGCTCCCTGCCGAGCAGGGAGCCCGATGCGGGACTCGATCCAGGGACTCCAGGATCATGACCTGAGCCGAAGGCAGTCGCTTAACCAACTGAGCCACCCAGGCGCCCCTGCGTGAGTTTAGTTGTAAGATCTGCTTCCGTGGTACTTTGCTCCCTCCCTTAAGACCGTTTCTGTAACATTTGATACTTTTACACATTATTGTAAGGGAATTAGGGAAAATTGGCTTTCCGCCTGAGCACTTAATAGTGATTGCTTTCTCTTTTTGTTGTTTTAACTGTTTCCTTTCATCTCAGTTATCTGGGTCCTTCACCCCTTGATTGCAGTCTTGGTGCTGATCTCTCTGTTGATGGAGGCCTGCCTGTTAGGTGGTGGGGGCGGTGCTGCTTTGTCATATTTCTGTCCGTTATTTTCCTGGCTGTGTTACTGTCACCGTTTTTTATATAGCAGTTCTGTATTTTCTTTCTTTCTTTCTTTCTTTTTTTTTTTTTTTTAGATTTTATCTATTTATTAGAGAGAGAGAGTGAGAGAGAGTGCACAAGAGGGGGTAGGGTCAGAGGGAGAAGCAGACTCCCCACTGAGCAGGGAGTCCGATGCGGGACTCGATCCCGGGACACCAGGATCATGACCTGAGCCGAAGGCAGTTGCTTAACCAACTGAGCCACCCAGGCACCCAGCAGTTCTGTGTTTTCATGTAGTTTAATCTGTGGTTCTTTTTCTCGATTTCAGTGTTGTAGTTAAAAGGTTGAATGAATGACTATAATAAAGGGCACTTGACCTTGAAATTGCTCAAGTGAGAGTGATTGAAGCAGTGAGATACTAAGTCACTTTGGATCCCTTCCCACCACCACCACTTCTCCTCGTGCCTGGCCTTTTGGGTTCCTTAGACCAGGGTGTAGGCATCGCTCACGACAGGACTGCGTTGGCCCCTTCCTGAAGCATTCTTCTTTCTCTGTCTTTCCACTGTCTTTTCTCTGTCCCCTGACACTGGAATCCTAAGGAACTGAACTGAAATTCACATGGTACTTAAATGTTACCTTGAAATACACTAATCCATTAACTAAGGATGTCGTTTCTACTTTATTCTGCCACCGTTAGGAATTCCTAAACTTAGTTGACTGGGGAACCTTGTGGCCTTAGTTTTCTAAGGAACACCCTTTGGGAACTACTGTTGTAATGAATTTTTTAAAGAGGAATTTAGTAGAGGACGAACTGCTAATTCCAGTGTAGGGTCTCTCTACTCCACCAGGTGGCGTCCAGTGGAGCTGTGCTTTGCTGGTAGAATTGAGTCAGGATGCATACAAAGCGCTCTCCTCCATATCCTTGTTCATGAATAAAGCTTTTTTGGGAGCACTTTTCTGTTAGATTGTGAAATTTTATGTAATATCCGGAAGTCCAGAGAGGAGGATTTTCTTATTCTGTAAGTGACACACATTCTTAAAGGTATTGAGAAAACAAGGGACTGATTTCTTAGGCAAGGTTGATTCTGAGATTGCTTTTTTTTTTTCCTTGGGTTCCTGGATCTAACTCTTGAGAGTTTGGATCAGGCATTGGGCTTAACAGTTCTCTGTGAATGAAATAGGTTCTAGGATTGCTTGGTATTCTTAGATAATCTCATTCATTGTCACTGTACTTGTAGAGGGAAATCTTTTCCTGTCTCCTTGAGTTCTAAGGCCCTCTGGGTAC